TGAGGTTCAGCAAAGCCAAGTGCAGGATCCTGCATCTGGGTCGGGGCAAACCCTGATATCAATACAGGCTGGGGGATGAAGGGATGGAGAGCAGGCCCGCTGAGAAAGACTTGGGGATACTGGTGGATGAAAAGATGGATGTGAGCCGACAACATGCTCACAGCCCAGAAGGCCAACCGTATCCTGGGCTGCATCAAAGGAAGTGTGGCCAGCAGATCAAGGGAGGTGATTCTGCCCCTCTACTCTGCTCTGGTGAGAGTACCTGGAGTACTGCATCCAGCTGTGGAGCCCTCAGCACAAGAAAGACATGGAAGGTCCAGAGGAGGGCCACAAAAATTATCAGAGAGATGGAACACCTCTCCTATGAAGACAGGCTGAGAAAGTTGGAGTTGTTCAGCCTGGAGAAGAGAAGGCTCCAGGGACACCTTATTGCAGCCTTTCAATAATTAAAGGGGGCTTATAAGAAAGACTGAGACAAACCTTTTAGCAGGGCCTGTTGCAATAGGACAAGGGGTAATGGTTTTAAAATAAAAGAGGATAGATCCAGACTAGACGGAAGAAATTTTTTACGAGGGTGGTGAAACACTGGCACAGGTTGCCCAGAGAGGTGGTAGGTGCCTCATCCCTGGAAACATTCAAGGTCAGGTTGGACAGGGCTCTGAGCAACCTGATCTAGTTGAAGATGTCCCTGCTCATTGCAGGGGGGTTGGACTAGATGGCCTTTAAGGGTCCCTTCCAACCCAAACTATTCTATGAGTCTATGATTCTAAAACTAGGCCATCACTGCCTACACAATTACTGGCAAAGACATATCTTTTAAGGAAATATTTCTTATGGGATCTCATTACAAAAGAGTATAATTAAAAAGTTACTTGGAAATTGGATTTCCAAAGAAAGAAAAAATGCCTTGTCTCTACTTGGCAAAAGAGGACATGAATATATTCAATACTCTATATTTGTGTACAAAATAGAAAATCACATATTTTCTTCAGACTGCCGAGGGTCCTGTCTACAGTGCATATAAGATTTTGATTCTGTTTAACACGGATGTATCTGTACAGTTATCAGTTCAGTGGTTTTGATACAAGGGTAACGTGTAGTAGAGGTACTTTGCTTCCAGTACTGTATTTCTGGTAGAGATACTAATGCTTTTAGGGTTTCATCAGAAAATGACTATTTGTTGTAAAGGAACAATTTTGGAAAAATACCTGTCAACAGAAGATTTACAGAAATATAGGCACAGTTGCAAAAGAAGAGGCATTATTCAGGCTGCCTCATAGCTCCTGACCCTGCAGATTCCCAGATCTCAGGCCCTGGCAGTACAGTGCCATGCGACGGTGGAGCCAGGAAAGAGCTTGGGGACATGAAAACTTTTAGGCTTTCTCACATATTTATGTTTTGAAACTTTCCCCACTGCCACTGGACATGGACCTCATGGGCACTCCTTTGTGGGTGGATTTCTGACTTATCAGAAACTTTATGATGAGATTCTTTGCAATACCCCCAAGTTCTTCATGAGTTTTTGGAAGTCAGCTTACTCGCTGAAGTGCCGACTTTATTAGAACTACAAAAAAGGTGGACTTTCCAAAAAATAAAGTTTTTGATTTTTGCTTCTGTCAAAAACTTGGAAAATTTTACAGCTTGTTCCAAAGTGGAATAAAGGTTTATTTTCACATGTAAAATTGATAGTTGGGTTTCAGCCAGTTTTAATTCTCTTACATTGTTTTCAGAATGGGTTTTGTGTGTGTGTCATTGGCAGCGAGTTCAGCTATCAAGGGTAAATTTAATTCTAATTTTCAAACAAAACATCATGAGATTCTATGAGAAAGCACCAGTGAAGGCAGATGTTATAATAACATTAGGAACTGAAATGTATTTTTCTGTGTTCATAGAGACTATGAATCTTCAAAATCTTAAAAAAAAAAAGATGTAGAAATGGAAAACACATAATACAGCAATGCAGTCATGCCTTCTTACAAGATCTTTGCACTGTATGCCATTCTAACATGCAATAGTCATAGCGAATGTCAGCA